AATTTATGCAAAATCATCACACCAAATTCTGGACAAAATTTCAGCCTGATTGGATGACTGGTGTAGGGTTTATTGCAGTTTTAGTTGAAGTTTTGTCAGTTTTTTGCTACTTATACCTCAAAGCGTTACCGATTACTTTAAAATTCGGTCACTATTTTCAAAATAACGGTTACATGAGTGTTCTACTATGTAATACCAACAATTTTTGTTATAATTATTTTATTGGTACATGTACAGTTTTCATTTTAAAGACCAAAATAGTGATTTGCTACTTAAAGCGTGATTTGAATTGGCTTATGCCAATGGCGTTGACACGGCCTTCAAAGTGGAGGGGTCAACCCCTCAATTTCTAAAATAAAATCCATAGTTTCTAAAATAATTGCCTATATTTCTAAAACAAAAGGTCCTCGCAAAAAAAGTACAGAAGGACATGACCCCCTAGCCTCCCGGCGTTGACGGCGATGTATGCTTTGCTTGAATATACCAACATTTCCCAAGTTATAAACTGCTGCCAAAAAAAAAAGCTAAAAAAAAAGTGCAAAATCTGGTCAAAGGACTACCAGTTAGTAAAAAAAAAAGTAGATCTCCTAAAATATTTTGTATTGACCTCCTTAAATACATTTACTTTTAAAATTAAGTGAAAACTATTTAAACCCTATTTTTACATTGTATTACCATCAAATATTTAATTACATTTTAAGAAATGTTTTTTTGATTTTCTCCACCAAAAGATTATTAATAAATAGCTCAATGTACTCTTTTAATACAAATACTCTGTAATACTCTTTTTAAAGATGGTGAAAATATTCATTATACGTTGTTTAGATCAATTATGCAGCGCAACAATATTTCTTTGTACTCTGGATGATTATTACTTCGCTTATACATCGACCAATATTGATAAAAATCTTGATGAGAAGTTTTGACAGCTTGTTCACTAAAGGGCCCCTAGGGGGATCCTTTGTGACTGATGAAATCCTTGATGTGGTAGAAGACGGCGTGAATTTTGGGTGTTACACTTACACCAGTTATGATAAGGTAACACTTTTTGAAATTTTAAATTTTCTTAGCGAAATTTGGCTGAAAGATGTATCCAAAGAAAGCTTTGACCTACTAAATTGAAGCTTTTAAATGCTTCAATTATGCGCACAATATTGGGAACCATGTTTGTCTCAGCAAGTTGCTGCAGCATATCCACATTTTTAAGAAGCTTCCTGCATTCATTTCCCTCAAACTGGCCCCTGTGATACGGGCTCAGTTGAATGTGGAGGGCGGCTGGCCACTTAACAGCTTCTATTCAAGCAGTTTTAAGTATCTTGAAAAGATGGTTGACAACTCCTAAGAGGAGATGCAATTCCATTGGTGGAATGATTTCCAAAATCAGAAAATCAGGCCTGTCAACGCCCGCAGATGATTGGCTTTCGAATGACATTGCCTAAAAGTTTTGCATTAGCAACAACCTCTCCAAATTGCTGAAAAGACTCAAGGCTTGAATTAATTGAGCTCAGTGTTCGCAAGTTTCCAGAATTGGCAAGACAATTGGATTTGACGTCACACCAGGTGCAAGGGTGCATACTTGAATGAGTTTGAAGACCACAAATTATATTTGCAACTTTCATATCACAAGCCAAAATTAGTTTAACTCCATTTGCATTAATCAGTGACCAGATTTGTTCAATATTGGAGTGTGTTTCTGACAAATCTTCTGAAACCCCAACAATAATTTGTCTCTTGACTCCAGTGTTGTTACCAGTCCTTTGAGTGAGAAGTTGTTGTTGGTAAGGTGAGCTGGTTTCATCCCTTAACGCAGTATCAACAATGCTTAGACAAAACTTGAGAAAACCTTTGCCACCATCAATTCCAAGCTTAACAAAATAGCCACCAGAAATTTTGCGGGACTGAATAACATGCTTCCCAAGACTTGATAAATCATTGCAGTGAGCAACAACATGAACTGTACAAGAATCCGTTTTTTCGTCTGTCATTTTTAAGTCGCTGCAGGTGAAGAAATTGCTCAATTGTTGACCTAGTCTTAGAAAATGCATGTAAAAATTTCGCTCTACCATCATGCTGTTTAATGTTTTGTTTACAGTTCTAACAAGTTTCTTTAATCCAATTGTTTGACAGGCCCATATTTAATTGCACATTTACAAGGGCTACAGTGGTAAATTTCGGAGCACTTGATGGTGTCTGCGCACTACTTTGAACTAAAACCAAAACATACATATTTTATAGTTACAATAAACTTTGTTTAGTAAGTTTGTGTAAAACTTTAAAATCATTTATTTTTAAAGAAATCAGAAACTTGTCAAAAATATACTTCTTAAAATCTATCTAGTGTTATTTCTTAATAGTCAAGACTTTATTTCAATATATATGTTAAAATTATTTAAATATAAATATTTACCAGGGGTAACTGTAAGTGGAGTAGAATAGTTCTTTCCGGAGAAAATTCTTCATTGGAAATAACTCGAGATATGATTTGTTCGAATGATTTGGCATCTTTTGCAGCTAAAGATTGAGTATTTTTCCTAAGCATTATTTGATAGCATTGGTTGGGTAAACCTTTTTCTAAAGGGCTAAGGCATTTGCTGCAACGCACCTTTGGTTTTTTCTCAATAGTGGTTTGCTCTATAAGAGGATGTTTTTCTTGCAGTTTTGAACAACCAATTCGGCATATTAGGCAACAACACATTGTGCCTCTTGTTTCAGGTCTCACTTGTATTGACTTAAAATCAAACAAAGGAGGGAGTGCGACTTCTTTCCCCTCTTGTTTCCTGCGCAAAGTAATTATACACGTTTCGCAGAATCCTTTTGGCACCCGAGTATCACTGATATTGATCTTGGTCTTATACTGTTGGCGTATTCGATCTGCTTGAAATGTAGTAAGCTGTCTTAAACATTTTTTCAGACAGAGCAAGCACACAAACTTTCGATTTTCATCATAATTCTTTGCTTGATTTGGCATCGTGGCAATTCACTAAATTTGACTTCACTAAATCAAACTCTGCCTTTTACAAAATTGACCTAAATTTATATTGTTAATATTAATTTATATTATATTATTAATTTTAATTTATATTAATTAAAAACTATTAAAGTAAAGGAAATTTTTACTTGATTTAATTGAGTAATATTGAATTACAAGGAAATAATTCTTGAATAGTTCTTTCCTTACCAGGAAACAATTGTTTAAACTATTTACTTGAAAGGAAATTATTGATAATTGTCATACTTATTAAACTAATGATATTTGTCACACGGGTTGTTTTATTTCAAAACAACCATTTCAACCTAATTAGTTAATCAGTTAGAGTAATTTTCCTCCGACTGGCCCACCAAACTTTGTATTGGTCAAATATCTTAGCTAACTTATCTAAATTTTTTAAGTCAAGTATCTTTGTCTATATAAAAAATATTTGGTTTTTTCACAGTTGTTCTGTTTTCAGATTAATAAATATTTTTATTTTCAACTAAAACTGCAATAAATCCTACACCAGTTGTCCAATCAGGCTGAAATTTTGTCCAGAATTTGGTGTGACTATAGGCTACATTTGCATAAATTTTTATCATATTATATTGAGTGTTTCAAATTCTACAAGTGTTTTTATTGGCGCACTATGAAGTCAAAAATTTGACTTAATTTGAATATTCAAATTAAATTATTTTCCGCGGACAAAATTAAATGATTTCAAAATTTGCATCACAGTGTACCTTGATGTGTACACTAACTTTCCGTATAATTCTTAATATTTCGTGGCGTACTTGGGACAGCTAGGTAGGCATTATAAGGATCCGTGCTAACCGTGGATTAGTTCAGGATAAGAATAACGAGGGTTCGTGTGGCACAACTCTTGGCAAAAAATTTCCAGTAACTTTGCAGCGGATATTCAAACAATTTTCAAAGCGTAAAATTGATGACAATGATTCTACATCTTCCTGAAATAGTGTAACCGCGTAATAGGAAAGTGCCTTGAGCGCCAAATAACTAATTGACTAGCAGAATCAAGTGAACATTAACTGTGTCAGGATAGTGGAATTTAAATAGTTGTCAGTTTCAACTACCCACTGCCTAGATGAATTTAAATAGTTGTCAGTTTCAACTACCCACTGCCTAGATATGCCTAGATTAACCGTCATTTCGAAAGATAATAAAATAGTTTGACCCAAAATCTAACTTGCCAGGTAACTAAGAACTTAACTTGTAAATTATCGTATTTTAAGTTCAATAATGCATAAAAATTTTTAATCTTACAAATATATAAAAGTGCATAGAAATTTACATTAGTTAAATTTGTGATATTGTTATGGTTAGCCGAATTTTAATTTGATATAGTGCAGTAAATAGCCTAAAATAAATATACTATTATCGGTGCATCAAAAGGGCCAAACAACCCTAGAAAACCAAAATAAAATAAATAAAGTAAAATAACTTGAAGTAACCAAAAATAACCATGAAGCAATTATTTCACGGTTATTTTGTTAATTTATTTTTGGTTAACCTTGATTTTTGTAAAATTGCCGTAATTTATTGAAAAATACTCAAAACTAAAGCAAAGTTATGGCAAATTCCAGCAAATTAACTTTAACAGTAATTTAGCAAAAACTACTTATTTACTTCAACTTTCATACCATTACGCATAATTATAGTAATTACAACACAAAATGTTTAACTGCAATATTTATACTGTATGGTGAAACATGACACATCATGGTGCAATATAATGTGCAACACTAAAGAAGCAGATAAACGAACGTTTTTATTTACACGACTGAAAGAGACACCTGCACGACTGAAAGACTTGT